CACGGTTACTTTACCCTCTGATAGCCATAGCATCTGGAACATATTGCTCCTTCAATTTTTCCAGCAGTGGAAGAGAGAGACTGGATGTCAAGGCTTTTCACTTAATTAGCCTAGAAAAGAGATATGCTACTTCTTCTCCCATTTCATTGGCCAGAAGTAGTCACGTGGCCCCACCTAACTGCAAGAGTGGTGGGAGGTAGAGTCTTGGCATGCCAAAAGGAAAAGCAAACATTAGTGAGCAGCCATAATGCCTATCAAAGGGCTCTACGATCAGGGAATGCATGTAGGAGCAGGGAAGATAGTAGGGGAACCTGAAGAGTTGTCTGAAGGATTTATCACAGCACCCCTGCTCTTCTCCAGGATTAGAGAACTTTAGAACTGTAGAGTTCAACACGATTGGCCAAAAGTCTTCAATAATCTGAAGGTATCTGGAATTAGGTCATTTTTAAGGGGCTTTCCTGTTGTAGTGTTCTAATCGTCTACATAGCCTGTCATTTTTATCTTCCTCTAAATGTCATCCTCAGAAATCAATTCCCTAATAAAGTATGTGAACTTATATTTATGAAATCTTCATTTTCTGCCCTCATTCAGAGAGTGTAAGTAATTTATTATTCAAAGTTTCCATATATCCTAACTCTGGAAAAGCCAAACCAGTACACTTGGGCCCCTAGATTAATAATTCTTTTTGGAAAGGATTAAAGGAGAAAAGTAGGAAGAGAGGGACAAGATGACCTTGTATGTTGTTCAAATTAAGGTTGCAAACCATCCTACTTCCTTCTCTTTGGGTTGATTGTTAGCCTGGGTTATCTACAGACTCAAAATCAGTGATATATAGATACATACACACACAAACACACACAAATATTTTTTTTTCAAGAAAGTGGCTCGTACAGTTGAAGAACCAGTTAGGTTCAGCCTACTTCAAGTCCATGGGTCAGTTGTTAAGCTGGAGGCTTTTCCTGACTTACGTAGCTGCTGCGTCAAGGGCTGATGAACCAAGAAGCAAGAAGATGAACTAGGAAGCAAGAAGACCACAAACTAGTAGAGGCAGAGGCAGATGAATTCCAGGTCAGCAAGACTTGTGGTTACAACATGAATGAATACAAGGCCAACAGGCAATATGGCAGGCTCCAGATAACTCCCAGCACTGCCAGGATAGCTCCCATCACTGCCAGGCAATCTGGTGAGTTGACTAGCCAAGTGTAGGTTCCAGACCAGGAAGAAAGGCAGACAGAAGCCTTCTGTGTTAGGTTGGTTTGTCTAGACCAGTGGTTCTCAACCTCCCTAATGCCGTGACCCTTTAATATAGTTCCTCCTGTTGTGGTGACCCCCAACCATGAAATTATTTTTGTTGCCACTTCATAACTGTAATTTTGCTACTGTTATGAATTGGGTGAACCCTGTGAAAGGGTTGTTCAACCTCCCAAAGGGGTCGCGACCCACAGGTTTAGAACCGCTGGTCTAGAGAAACAAAACCAGTGATACTCATGAATGTATAAGATAGAAGTTTACAATGAAGAAGGAATTGTATCGCAAAAAGGCATACCAGTACAGTCCATGGGTCCAGTGCTAGCTGGAGCGCTCCTCAGACCCACTGAGCTGCAGGCCAATGGTGCAGAAAAGTGAAGCAGAAAGCAGGGAGATCACAGACAGGTGGGTGCAGAGTTCAGTAGAAACATGACAGGGCACCAACAGCTCCTAGGTTGGCTCCCAGGGTCAGTGGCCCACATGGGACTGATCCTAGAGACAGACACGATCTCAGCAAGCAGGGAAGGTGAAGGGCCAGAGAGGGTAGGAGGTTCCCAGTGTCTGTGTTATAAAAAGGCCATGCCCCCAAGGAGACACCACTATGCTACCACCTGATAAACAGGTTGGACTGGACCCCTATCTTCATACAGGTATCATTAAGTTAGCATAAAAGCTAACCTTGACACCCTCCACAAAATCTACATCTATAGCAGTAGGCTATATTCCCTTCCATTTCATTCCACCCTCCTCTTCTTTCCTATCTTGAAATTGATTATACTGTTAGCTCAAAACATGGCAGGCTCTAACTGCCAAATGACTGAGAATTCTGATGGAGCCAAGTTGACACAGAACTTAACTATCACCTGATCTTAATTTTAAAATTTTTCAATGCACAATCACTTCCACGTGGTTCTTATCATCTCTCACAACCCTAATAAGGCATGAGATAGCATCCTTTTATCAAACTGCATTATTTCCAGAATTTCTAAGATGGCTATCAGCTGCCATTTCAAATCAGGAAAGAATGTTCATGCTATTTAATTGAGTTTAATTCCTTATCTAGAAAATTTGTATAGTAAAACTGGCTGCTTAACTTTTGTGTGTGAAAATTTGATGGTAAAGAGTAAGATTTTGGAGGATGAAATTTCAGGATCTTTTATTTTTTTTAATTTGGACAAACGTTTGAATAGAGCTGCTCTCTCTCATTATCCAAAACTCAGAAAGCACATCAATTTAGATAATACAGCAAAATATTATAAGAAATGCAAATCACTTGTCATTGTTCTTGGCACATGCAGGCCATAATATTGGGACTGCATGGTTCTTTCTATTACCACCGCTGCTGCATCTATTACTTGCACTTTTAATTTTACTATGCTTTTTTTTTTCAATTTTGTTAACTATTTGTTTCAGTGAATTCAACTGTTTTATGAATAGCGTACCCTCTACCCTTGCCTCCCCGCAACACACACACCGTCACTGTTGTCTGCGGAGTCTACTGTCATTTTCTTTTCTGAGTGCATTTGTCTTTTTGCAGCAGCCTCTGGAAATGGCAACGTGGGTAGCAGACTCGGTGCTTAGCCCTGCTTCTTTATTGACATTTAGGCTTTCACATGGCTTAGTTACTTCCATTTTCTTTTCTTTTGTGAATTACAGTGCCAGTGGCAGATATCAAAGCTGTAGTGACGGGCAAGGACTGTCCTCACATGAAAGAAAAAGGAGCCCTTAAACAGAACAAGGTATGATTTTCATTTGATTTCAAATAGCTCTGTGCACTGCAATCAGAACTTTGGTGGACTGAGCCTTCCTTTTATAACTGTGTGTGTGTGTGTGTATGCACGCACACCCATGCATACGTGCTCTCTGGCCTTTTCCTCTTTTCTGACTCCTTTTACATATCTTATACCTTTCCCTTCTCCCCCGATCACTTTTCTAATCTCCCGGTCTCTCTCATTCTTTCACTCCCTGTCTCCTCCTAAGCCTGGGATTGCCCTCCTATTGGAGGCAAACAGATCTCCCTCAAGACCTATCGGCTCACCTCTACCCATTCTCTGGATCTCCTCTAACCAGGGAGACTCCTAAAAAGACCATCCCCCTATAAACTCACTGACATCGGATCAGTTCGAACACAGACACCTGTAGGACTGGTAGAACTGTCTCTGGGTATCCAAGACTTTAACACTTTACAGGAACAGACAACCTCGTCCTTCTCCTTTGGCACAAGTGGTAGACTTTGTGGCTAACAGCTCAATATGCAGTTCACTACCCCAGGCTCCTTATCTTCACCCCAGTTCCTTCATTTTCTCCTGCTGGGAGAAGCCCTTTAGCAATCTCCTCAGGGTCTCAGTGGAGCCTGGGAAAGGCAGAGACAAGGCAACTCAACAAATCTTTAAACACCATTAAGGGACTTTTTTCCTTCAGCATTCTAGAAGAGCAGAGTGTAAAATATTTCAAACCCATTTAAAGGATACGGTTCCCTGCTAGGTATATATGACTTAAGCCTACTTCCCATGGCAACACCTTTCCCCACCCCTTTCAAGTTCACCAACAGACCATCACTGTGACACCCCAGCTCCATTACGGAGAGTGGGTGGAGGGCATTTTCCATAGAGATGGTACAATTTCCTTTGCCCCTCATTTGAAGGTATTATTCGTGGTGGGAGAAGGGGCCTGGCTATCAGGGAGCTGCTCCTTTGTTTATATCTCTTGATATCTTAGAAAGCATAGTCTCCATCTT